TCTCGTGGAACCAAAAGCGGAATAGTGTACTTCCCTGAGGCAGGTTTGTGGGTCGTACGGGTCTGACCGTCATAGTGTAAGATTACCAGCGCCCCGCTCTGGTCCATGACGTGGAGTGTATGTGTCGGCTGCACACTGAGTTTCAATAGACTCTGTAGACTGCAACATGGTGATGGATTGGGAAATTGTGTTGTCTGATCTGAATGGGAACAGATTCTGCTTATTTTCATATAGACTGTGATCAGAAGTCTTGTAGAATGCGATGAGAATGATAGTGTGATCCCACAACTACAAGCCATACTTACCCCGCATTTTATAAGTTCGCTGCTGTGTCATGCAGCTTACAGCTTTCAAATGTCCATGACAATAATAGAACAATGGTATCAATGTTGTATTTGGCTAGAGTGATCGTAGACTACCCGAGGCCTTAGTGGTGTGACATGCGCTGAAATGATCGAATCAGAAACGTGCTGATAATACACTCTCCATGGCAATAGCAGGATAGCATCCTTGGTATCCACGATTAAGCCAGATGATGTGGAGATGCCTTTCTAGCGAAGATCGCAGCAATAGCTCCAGATTCATATGGACTATACGCAGAGATAGTATCATAGCCATAGCCATGCCATAGCCACATATATGCCCATAGCACCAACCCGTGTCTAACTTCCGTGCCTTTTAAAGCTCTTAGACCTCCTCTTCTGTCGTTCAGTCGGCGGACGTACATCGGTTGTTCGGAACCTTTTCTCGGTTTCTATGACTTGACAGATATAATACTTGCTCTTGTTATCGACTCTCCTAGTACTCGAATAAAATTCAGTATCCTCCTGGCTTCCTCTATCATCAGGAACAAGGCAACCTCGCAGTCAGTCGGGTAACCTCGCTGTCATCTGACTCGTGACTGCCGGGAAGCTTCTTCTGCCAGCTCTTGTCCTTCCCCTCAGTCACCCCAAAACTCTCCACTGGGTCTTGCCCAACAAGCTGCTTTGATTTCATCAACCATTGCTTTCCCCTCTTTGCTCTCCCTGTTTATTCTCGTCGAACCTCCGATCTCCAACTCCGTTTGTTGGTTCGTGTCTTCTATATACAACAGCTGTAGCTTCTGCTCGTGGTGAGTGTATCCTCTACTTTTCCCTTCGGTGGAGTATACGTCATCTGTGAGACCATCCCCTCTCCTCTCCTTACAGACGCTGTCGCTCTGTAGATCAGCTGTGTCTTGGTTATCCTGCTGGGGCTGAGTTCATTGCCTAACATCAAATTTGCATAGAATATATACTTGTTCACTAGATTCCCTGGTCAGTGAACTACTTCCTAGCATTCACTCTCTGTCTTGCTCTCTTGTCAAAAACTCGCGCAACGCCTGCCGGACCAACGAACTGACTGAATTCTATCACAGCCTTGGTGCGAATCTCGCTTTACCATCGACATGGCAATCAGTACTGTCGAGCCTGCTCCGCAACCAGCCATGGATTTCTTGCACCATCCGTACACACGTGCCGCGCTGCCCTTCGTCAATGGTGGCCTCGCCGGCATGACTGCGACGGTCGTCGTTCAGCCCATCGACATGATCAAGGTCCGCTTGCAACTGGCCGGTGAGGGTGTTCGTACTGGCCCTCGTCCTTCTGCATTTGGTGTTGCGCGCGACATCATCGCCTCCGGAAAAGTCCTCGACCTTTACACCGGTCTGTCAGCTGGTTTGCTGCGGCAGGCGGTCTACACTACTGCCCGTCTGGGTTTCTTTGACACCTTCAGCAAGAGTCTTAACACGCGTGCTGAAGCTGCTGGTAGGAAGGTCGGATTCGCCGAGCGCGCAGGAGCCGGCTTGGCTGCTGGCGGTATTGCCGCCATGATTGGAAACCCAGCAGATCTGGCACTCATCCGTATGCAATCCGATGGCCTGAAACCACCAGAGGCCCGAGCCCACTACCGTTCTGTCGTTGACGCGTTGTTCCGTATCTCGAAGCACGAGGGTATCGCCGCTCTGTGGGCGGGTGCTTTCCCGACAGTGGTGCGTGCCATGGCCCTCAACCTGGGTCAATTGGCCTTCTTTGCCGAATCGAAGGCGCAGTTGAAAGCGCGCACGCAGCTCTCCACCCAGAGCCAAACCTTCGCCGCTTCAGCTATCGCCGGTTTCTTCGCCAGTTTCCTTTCGTTGCCCTTCGACTTCGTCAAGACTCGACTACAGAAGCAACAAAAGGACCCCAAGACTGGCCAGCTTCCGTACAAGGGTCTGTTCGACTGCGCTCGCAAGGTTGCTCGTGAGGAGGGTTGGCTGAGGTTCTACCGCGGATTTGGCACTTACTATGTGCGGATCGCGCCCCATGCGTTAGTCTTCCCCACTCCGCCTCGCTAATATCAGCCATCATTTCTCGCTAACCCCACTGATCGACTCTAGCATGGTGACGCTTATCGTGGCCGATTATCTCAACCTCATCACCAAGTAAAGCAATCGGCTTCTTTTTGACAGCCCGGTGGCTATCTACTGAGGCTACAAGACTCGTTGTCTTCGCCAAGCCGCAGGCTCTGACAATAAAGACCCGATTCAATCGGCGAAATTATTGTAAAACGTGGCTTGCAGGCAGACGGACGATACATCGTCATATGGCCTGTTTCTTATCCTATCTTTATGCGATTATTCGTCAGAGAGGCTTGACCGGAAAATACGCCAAGGGTGGTGTTCGCACTGTCAGGCACAGACGACACCATTCCCTGGTGTAACCGAGAGAACATGGTTGACAAAAGTGAATTCTCTTCCTTTGACAACAGAGTTACAACTTTGTCTTCACTCATTGTTGTATACCTTACTGGACTATACGTGGCGATCGACTGGCCTATGTTTGTTTCAAGCTCCCGCGCCTCATGGCTAATCAGTTTGCACTACATGCTTTTTCCGGCTATCTTATGAGATGCAATGGGAGGGTTTGCGACCTGCGCACGCCCACTTGTTTTCCTTGCGTTGTTCTGCAAGTACCTTATTTATATACCCCATGGCACGTCGCAGACTGCTGCATCGGCGCATTGTGGTTGCAAGGTGTCCTCGTATTTATGCGTTATGGTTTTCAAGTCTCAATATCACTCAAAAAAGGTTACGCGCACTATCGTAGAACCGGCGAAGAGATATAGGTAGATCATATTGATGATTACTCTACGCCGGGGTAAGCCATGGAACTACTCATCATCATCCATATCATCTGACAGCGCACTTTGAGCCTGCGACAAACGTTCCAGCTTGATCCGAACAGCAGCATCGGCTGTCTCCTGATGCGTGCTCCCCCCATCTTCCGAGTCATCGTCGCTTGCAACAGTGATACCACTCTTGCGTCCTTCCCGAGGTCGCCTCCGGGGGTTCCCATCAGCATCCAGCTCGTCATCCTCCGCTTCCCGCTGGGAGGCTGCTTCGGCGCGACGCACTCTGCGCAGCAGGACAGGATCACTGCGCAGATCTTCCGCGGTCAATACAACCGAGCAGACAGGACACTTGACGGAGCGAATACGATTTCTTCGGCCGCGTGACGGAGGCCCAGGCACGGTTGTGGAACTGTGCGCGATCATATCAGTAATGGCCTCGCGCTCGAAACTATGAGGACATTTGGTGCTGGTGACCGGGTCCCGGAAGGGGAGGAGGGTGAGGGGGCATTTGAGAGAGATGCGCTCGCGCTCGATGGCGATCTCGTCCGAGTCTGCGGACGAGGGGCTCCGGCGTTGGCGGGTGCGTCGGGCCGCTGGCTGGTCGGTTGTGGAAGTTGTAGTTGCGTGAGGATCTTCCATGTGCGCGAACCACGTGGAGGCGTGTGGCAGCGGCGGGATGTCGTCGCCGGGGTGTTTGGCTTCGTGGATTATACGGTAGAAGCCGATATAGGCGTTGTTCGTGGAGTATCTGTATCTGTTAATTCGGTCCTCTTTCATTCTTCATCCAGCCCTAGGGAATGCAGTACGTACCTCTGTGTCAAGGATTGACCGGTCCATCGCGCTGACTCCTCGTCCAACTTCTGACCTAGCCGCTGGCTAGGTGGGATACCGGTCATCTGCGGCTCAGGCGTCCCTTCGTAGTCCTCATCGCCGTCCTCTTCGGGGTCCTGGTCCTCCTCATCATCGCCTCGTCTCCGCCTCGTCCGTCGACCCCGTAGTCCCGCAGCCCCAGCCCTAGCGCCCGCAACGGTAGCCTCCTCCGCCTCCTTGGCCATATCCGCCAGCACCCCCTTCAAGCCCTCAAGCTTTACCTCGGCATCGATCGTCTGCCGCATCCGTGCCTCCAATTCCTCCGTAACACTCTGAACCTGCTCCTCCAACCGCGCTAGCCGGTTTATCTCCTCCCCATCATCGTCATCCTCCTCCACGTCCTCCTCCTCCTTTGCACCGCCCCCCTCCGCAGCAGGCGTCTCCCCATCCCCCCTCCTCCGCTTCCGCGCCCTCTCCTTCTGATACCGCACCCGCGCATCAGTAAGCCGCTCGTTGACCTCCCCCGCTGAATCGGTGAGTTTCTCCTCCGCGCGCTGGATGTGCGTTTTCAGTTGTCGCACAGACGGCGCGTTCAGGAGCGCGATGATCGCATTGTGCCCTGCGGCGTTTAGGGGCGCGATGTGCGGCTCGTAGTCCGGGAGAGGAGGCGTCGAGGCGCGGGAGTGGGTATGTCGGTTTGTGCTTGCGCTTGTGCGGTCGTTGCGTGATGCGTGGCGGCGGCGTCTTGTGTCGGGTGTTGCTGACATTTTATCTAATCTTGGTCTTGGGAGGGTTGCTCGTGATAGAGAGGTTGGGCTGCTATGACATGATGGTATATGGGATTGGAATGATAGACTTAAGAGCTTTTCAGGTATGATCGTTGAGAGTCGTAATGCTGGCTTAGTGCTGTCTATGCGATTATTCTTACTGATAAGATCGAGGTCACTACAAAGGACGCGACGCGCTCGCGCTAGTCCTGTTTAGGATATACATCTTGGTGCCTGGAATTCTGGGCAGCGAAAAAGTTTTCATGAAACAATGCGCGAATCTCTACGCCGCAGTTACACCTTGTAGAAACAGAATGCATGATAGAAGCCTAGACCATGTCAGTCATGCCACGCAGACAACCCGGTCAGAAGAACTCACTGGCCGCTTCCTTTTCCTCCTCGGTCATCAGCAGTTCGCCAGTGGCTCGATCACGGACACCCATGCGTTCGCTCAAGGGCCCCAGCTCCGGATCATCCTTTTCATCACGCCAAATATCCAGGAATGGCTTGCGGTATTGCAACTCGAGGTTGTAGTCCTCCGTAAGACTGCGGAAAATTAGTCTCGCACACACATCAAAAGTAGTTGTCCAAAGACTCACGCTCGGAAAGCTTCCCAGGGAACAACGTATTCCGGCACCTCTTCAACGGCCTCTTCCATGAAGTAGCTGTACTTCCATCCGAAAGGAGGACGGAAAATACCATCCTCAGGAGTCGTAACAGGAAACCGGACCCGGTAGATCTGGTTCCCCCATTCTACCTTGCCGTCATCCTCTTCCACCTCGCCGTCCTCAGGAGCCTCGTCTGTCTTTTCCTTTTTGGCTTGCGCCTGCCGCTCCTTCTTCTTCGCATTGATCTCTGCTACTCGCGCGCTGATCACGTCCGAGTTCGGGCAAACGCCGAGGAATCGGCCTCCCTTCTTCAGACATCCTGCAACATTGCGCAGCATCTGCCTTGCCTTTTCTTCACTTTCAAAGGCGTAGTGGATCGCGAACATGGATGCTACCACGTCAAATCCGCCTCCGCCCCACCGTGAGCTCATGACAGAACCCCCTGGGCCTGCATTGGGGTCAATGCCAACCTGCTGGACAATGTCGACATCCCCCAGCCATTCTCCGAAGCAGTCCTTGGGTTGAAATTCGGCATGAAAGATGGGATTACGCCGGCCGCGATTACCACGTCCCGATTTCATTCCATTGTAGCGTTCGCGGGCTTGGATGATTGATACCTCTGCCGGATCAAGACCAACGTACAAATCAACTGGTTGAGGAGCCAGCTGCCATTTCCCAAGGTCACCACCCTTGCCACAGCCCAAGTCGATCACAAGAAGTCGCTTTTCCTCTACCGGAGGCACGCCGCCGTCTTCAGCCCAGTCCTTGGTGCCATTGAACCGCGCAAGGAATTCCTCGTCCGGAGAAAACTTCTGGATAAGGGTACTCTTGACCCAGTTGTTGAAGCTCCGCAGGCCCTTGATCTTACTTTCTGTCTTCCGCCACTCTCTACCGCGCTGCGGCACTGCGTTGTAGTGTTGACGAACAACATCTGTCAACCCGCGGCCCTGGGAAGCCCGCATCGCCTCTTCAACCTGGGCACGGTCTCTTTCTTCTTGTCTCCGGCGCAACGTCTCCCGATCCACCAGTCCCATTCGAGCCCCACCACCGGGCCGTTTGCGCTGCCGGGGTTGTTCCTCTGGAGTAGGAGACCGTGGAGGTGGAAGGGGTGAGGTGGATCGGTAAGTTGAACCATTGCGGTTGGCAGCTGATGCTGTCTCATCTGCGTCACGGCGAGAGTACGCCGAAGGAGGTGTCCTACCGCGCTTTCGTAGCTTCTGGTGTCGTTCTTCCATGCGCTTCCGCTTGGACATGGGGCGGTCTGGAGCTAGCTGTGATTTTTCGGACATATTCTCCTCCGCGGGCACCTTCCTCTTTTTATCACCTTGAGATCCATTCCGATCGGTAGGCGGAGCGACCTGGTCTGGCCGATTCGGCTTGTCTGAAGGATCCGCTCTGGGCTTAGGTGTCGCCGAATCGGAACGGTTTTCCATGGTTGTAGTTGCTTTGTTCGCTTGATTCTCTGCCGTAGATGTCAAAGGTCGTGTGTGCGAAGCCTCCTGCGCTGCGAGATTTGCAGGCGACTGTAATTGAGTTGAGATGGAGGGAGGAGTTTGCGTAGTTGATTGTGCTGGCTGCGATTCCGCATATAGTACTTCCGCGGATGCGTTAGTCTTTAAATCGGGGTAAGGATGTCTCTGTCATTTCAAGGAGAGTCAGTGACAAAGCGTTAAAGCAACAGTGAGCTGAACTTGACATAAAGAATTGAACAAAAATGGCTCATGCAGAATCTGTCCAAATTGAGTAACCAAAAGAAAAGTTCCCAGATTCAACGACTGAAGCATTCACCGCAAGTATGAACCAAAAAAAGTACTTACCAGATCAGTAGTGTTCTTATTTTCCCAAGTTGCAGTCTGAACCTGCTCCGAAGATGAGAAGCCCGCCTGGGGCTGATCGGAGGCGAGGCCCCAGCGAGACCTAGCTTCGTCTCCATCTCGCTCCTCCCAACTGTCCCGTGCTGGATCATACATGCTGCCACCGGAGATGCACCACGCTTATTGTTTCTTGTAGAACATGGGATTTTGGAGAGTTTCCAACAGTAATTAAGAACATCTTGAAGAAATAAAGGACGAGAAAGAACGTTCTTTCTGCGTGCGATGATGGTCCTGTTCATACTTCTGGTATCCCTGGTTAAGTCTAGCGTTTGCCGCGTTCCCCTTACCGCATCCGGCACGATCGTCTACGCAGCAAGTGTGGTTCAATATCAGAATGCCTGATGCAGCAGACAGCACCCATGATTCATATGCAAATTTACGCGATAGATGTGAAGCTCTCGATCGGATCGAATATGTACAGTAAAGACAAACAGGGTATATCATGGATAGAGTAGAAAGACGAACCAATGGCACCATTCTTGCATAGCCAATGTTGAGCCGAAAGAAAGACAGAGAAAGAAATACGCAAACGCCAGCAGATCATACGCTCAAGCTGAAGAATGAATCCCGACCATCATGGAACAACCGACTTTTTTCCGTGAGGAGACTTGACGTTCAGCACCTGTCGCATCCGCCGAAGTTTCGCCCACCACTCTCGATCACTGGCCTTCTTTTGTTCCTCGTTCACCTCATCTACTACCGGGAAGTCACCCGAGGGTGTTTCTGAGACAGCACGGAGGGTGTCCATGGACGCCGAGGACCTGACCTGCCGGCGGTGTTTGACTTTGAGTGCTTGAACAAGTAGTTCCCATCCGCTCCGCAGCTCTGCCTGCTTCTCGGTTGACTTGCCAGTCCCGCTTTGAGCCTTTCCGCTGATCCAAGGGCAGTATTCCATATGCTCATTGGCAACATCCAATGTATCGTAGACCGTGGCATCCCCATTATCCTTCGGCTTGTACATCCACAGGCCCAATCGTCGAAAACATGCACTGCAGCCTACCAAGCCGGCCGTTTCGTTCGAGACTGCATCCCAGCCGAAGAATGCTAGCGCAAAGGCAGTTCTGTTGATAGGTTTCGATTGCTCAACTGTCACCTGAGAGCTCTTTTCGCGAGTCTCTTCGTCCGAGTCTTGCTCCTGCGATTGGCCCTGCGACTGGTCCTGCTGCTGATGTTGGGACTCAGTGGAGCGCAACCCATCGCCAAGTTCGAAACTTTCTTGCGGCAATATCTTGAGAATATCTTCTAGATTGAATGACTCAGGTGTCTGGATAATATCCCCAGCCGGTAGCTTATCGGCAATTTTGGTAATATTTGAATACCGTTTCTGAAGACTAGCGATTGCCGTATCGGCGTTTGTGAGCGGTAGTCGATGGATCGTAGCTTCATTGATCAGTGAAAACTCATAGAAAAAAAATTCAAAGAACATGTGCTTGACCAACCATCACAGCCTCTGTTTCTCCAAGGACAATGTTCACCATGCCCTTTGACCAGCAGACTCGCATACTCTTCTACCAGCTTGGCACCTTCGGATGGTCAGTTTGACGGCGATTGAAACCATAAATGTACCAATGCACTTACGGACTTCCTTCCTCTCCTGGACTTTGTCGAGATCATATCCATCCAACTCGTCAAGTTCGTCAGGTAATTTGACGACCACTGAGCCGCCACAGCCTCCCACACACGACACCCGCGAAACATCTGTACAGATCCACCCTCGTTTGGCCCACTCAACCTCACTTATCGCAGCCGGTTTAGGAGACCATCGATCGACGCGGCGAAAGGTCTCTAATCTCTCCAAGAAGCGTTCGCGGTCCCATGGGACGAAGCTAGGGCGTGTTGTTGATGAAACGGAAGACTCTTTGGAGCTAGCTCGAGGTTTTAGGATCGATCTCCCGACCGCCGCGAAGTCATTTTCATCTTGACTACTCAGTCGGACCTTCTTGATGGATAGGTCTGCGGGAAGACGCTCGCGAGCTGTTGTTGGAGTTGCGGGGGTCTTCTTGGACGAAGGTTCAGCGGTCGATGGCTTGGTCAGAGATTCTAGCACTCGATGAAACTTTCGCTTTTTGGTCTCGACCGCGTAGGACATTTCCTGATGTGAAAGTGAGCTGTTTCAGCTTGAGAACAAACTTGAAGCTCTTGAACTATGGAGATCGACCTGCGATGATGATATTATCAAAACGACGCTAAACCCAAGACGGCAATTGTATTGTTTCTCGTCAACAACGGGTTCCTGAGAAATCAGGTGTCTACATTTATTCCTCGACAGGCCATTGACGAAGCAAATTGGAGTTTATATAAACTATGTTCAGTGCTGAGCATATGGTATCACTTTTATAAGATCCCGATGGGACAAGACAATTGCACCAACCCTGTTATGCTATATTGAAATATTCCTCATATCAGAGTATTGAGTATCGAATCATGCAATACTGATTGGCCCTTCGGCGGCTCGGCGGCTCCGATCTCCGTCCACAACGGTCATTAGAGGGTCCTGAAAGCTCATCTTCCATTCTTCCTTTTCAGCTTTGTACATATAGGGAGTTCAGCATTGTCTCTCCCTGCTGTTGGCATCACCATGGCTTCTTTGGGAGGCTCGGTGCCTATGTTCCGGAGCCTTGCGCCCCGATTCTCCAAAGAATTCTTCACTTGTCGTCAATGCCTCGGACGGAGCCAGAAGTATGCGACTAAATCCGCATTTCGCAAGCAGTTTGCTGGCCTGTCCCTAGGCCAGAAGTCCTCCAATGCAATTCCGAACCCGCTTCGCGTGACGGCTGCAAAGTTTTTCTCGCCTAGCCTACGGAGATCCGTCTCTGGGTCAGCCGTGGCCGGTGCGCTGGAAGATGGAGCCTCTAAAGCCAAGTCCAGCTTTCCCAAAGTGTCTGACAAGATTGTGGCTTACTGGCTGCTGGGGAGTGCGGCCAGCGTATTTGGTATTGTCGTCTTTGGTGGACTTACAAGGTTAACAGAATCAGGGTACGCCCCGCTTTGTGCATCCCAAGTTTAGCGACCCTTGCTGACCATATTTGTTCATAGTTTGAGCATTACAGAATGGCGTCCCGTCACCGGATCCCTCCCTCCTATGAACGCAGAAGACTGGGAGTCTGAATTTGCAAAGTACCGTGCCTCCCCGGAATTCCAGCTGCTGAACCCGAATATGAATCTCTCCGAATTCAAGTCAATTTACTATATGGAATGGATTCACCGACTCTGGGGTCGTTTTGTTGGCCTGTCATTCGTGCTTCCCGCTATCTATTTCGTCGCAAAGAAAAAGGTCAGCAAGCCCATGTCGCTACGCCTAGCAGGCATCGCGGGCCTGATCGGCTTCCAAGGTTTCATCGGCTGGTGGATGGTTAAGTCCGGACTCAAGGAAGACCTCTTTGCGCAAGGCAGCCACCCCCGCGTGAGTCAGTATCGGTTGACGGCTCATCTCGGGGCTGCCTTTATCTGCTACACTGCCATGCTATGGAACGGTCTTGCTATCCTGCGGTCTCATCGGCTTCTGGCTGATCCCCAAGCTGGTATAAAACTGCTGGACTCGCTGCGTGATCCCAGGCTTAAGATTTTCCGTCGATCTGTTGCCGGTCTGGCCCTTCTGGTTTTCGCTACGGCCATGTCCGGTGCCCTAGTTGCCGGTCTGGATGCTGGTCTGATTTACAATGAGTTCCCATTCATGGGCAATGGTCTGGCTCCTCCCAAGTCGGAGTTGCTTGATGAGCGTTACTCACGACACGAGGATCGGTCTGACCTCTGGTGGCGTAACATGCTGGAGAATCCTTCTCTTGTACAACTGGACCATCGTATCCTGGCTATGACCACGTTCACCAGCATTATGGCTCTGTGGGCTTATTCTCGCCGCTCTCCAACCCTGAAGCGGTTGCTTCCACCTGCCGCCAGGAAGGGCCTACACGGTGTGGTTGCATTTGCTTGGGTCCAAGTCGGTCTAGGCATTTCCACCCTTCTCTACCTCGTCCCTACTCCTCTCGCCTCAGCTCACCAAGCAGGCAGTCTCTTTCTTTTGACCTGGGTGCTTGTCTTAGGCAGCCGTATCTGGCACCCGTCTAGGACGGCGAAGTTGCTTCAGATGGCTGCAAAGGCTCGTGGCCAAGCGGTACACAATGCTGCTTCTCATGTCGCCCACAAGCTGTGAAGCTGCTACTGATCACATTTTTTGAAGCCAAACGATCTGCTTATGTAGTTTAAAGACCTCTAGATTTCTCTGTATACTATGAATACCTCCCCTTTCAAGAATGTACGATATTGTTGGTCCAGCGATTGGAAATAAAGCCATTTGACGTTTGGAGTCACTCTTTAGGAATTTTACGACAGGCGGGGTTTGTAGACGAAACCCTACAGGCTACAGCAGGTATTCCTCATGTCTGTTTTATATTTCATTCTGAGAGATCCTCACAGTCTGCAGAGCATCTTACCTACCTTTAGTGTCTTATTCGAAGTCTCAGTGGCGATCTGAGAGCCCTCAGCGTGCACTCATTCGATTTCTAAATGGGTGATCTCGGGGACGAGATTGCCCATAATACCCAGCAGAATCATTGAATAATCCACTCAGAGCCATCTAGTACCTCAAAGAAATCAAGACTTGTATCGACCAGCTGGCATACGCCCGGCCCTTTGAGCCTTGTCCGATGGGGTGGCCTCGTCAATACTTGCTTGAGCCACAGAGAAGGTGCCAATCTCCTGAGCATCCGTCTCTCTGGCCCTGCGCTCAAGGTAAGCCTGAAGGGCATGGCTGGCTTGTTGCTGGGCATAGTCATGCAATTCTCGACTAGTCATACTCAAGAAATTCGCAACATCCTCGTCTCCAGGCGCCGCCCCGTCAGGTGAATGTTCTCGGTCAAGGCCGTCCTCCCGGATGGCTAAACCGATGGCTTCAATACTAAACGCCAAAAAGTTCCGAGCCGCGTTCAAGATCTCATTGTCCGCAGAGCTTGGTATCTTCGAAGACGACTCCTCGTTCTTCGTTTTCTTTCGATTGCTTGACTGTCCCTTCCTCAACTGACCCGCATCACCCTCGTCCCTCTTGACCGACACTCTGCCGCGTCTCATACGCGCAATGAAAGTCTGGTCGATAGCCCCCGTGTGGACGCGACCGTTTCCCCGGTGCGTGCGACTGCAACCGTTGGCAAGAATACAGCCGTAGCATGCCTGCCAGCCGCATCCCTCGCAGCGGGACATGCCCGTTCCATTGCGTGTATTGCACATGTCGCATTTTGCGGTGTGGCAGGCTATCTCCTTCCATTCAGTCTCGATCGATTGTTGAGACGCAGTGGACGGCAGAGGGGGAGGGGTTCGGGACTGATGAGGCGAGGGATCCCTCCTGCGTCTAAAAGAAGATCTCGCCATTGCTTCTACGCGGCGTAGGATGGTGCCAATCTGTGTGGCGCTTGAAGAGGATATCGGGATGGCTGTTAGCCTGTGTGGAGAGCACTCGGAAAGGAGACTTGGATTTATTCTTCCCTATGATACAACAGCAAAGGGCAGTGACAAATTGGCAAAGATTGGGGTTTGTTGTCAAGGAGCAGCAGAACTCAAGAATTTTCTCAGAAAGGGACTGTGAACTACACACAGTCAGGGTGCGGCTCTGTTTACCGGGGCACGATTGCGCTCAATAGTGCGGAGCCACTCCAGGCGCACTTCCCAAACGTCAKGAAATGTTCTTGGCTGACCCTCTGGCGGATTCTGTGCAGTCTCGATAGCAGCTAGATAGAACTCCCACGGGTTCTGTCCATCCCACGGGTCGACTTCCAGCTGTCCTTCGTATTCTTCGGATGGGGAGTATGGGGGGAGCTCAGGGTCTCCTTGGAGATCCTCTATTGCACTTGCACTTGGCTGATTGTGATTGCTCTCCAGGTGTCGTTCAGTGCTCACAAATTGAAAGTACTGACTAATGCCACCGTCGTTGTCGTTGCCTGCAGGATTCTGCGCTGGTGGTGGCTGATTGCTCTCCTGACGCCGTCCAGCTCTCATAAGGCGACAGAATTCATCGAAGGTTCGATCGTCGCCAACGGTGAGTCTAGGTCTCAGAAGTTGAGCGATTTGATCGATGTCACTATCGTCGTCACCGTGATTCTGTTCAGAGGGCTCAAATAGAGAGTATGGCGGAGGCTCACGGGCGTCGCTCGTGGCACGAGCCTGCTGTTCAGTCAGACGTGGGACGTTGTCCTGAGAAAAGAGAGCCATGTCAGTGACTGAAGTTCAAATCGCAGATGGAGAGAATGGCAAACGTACAACAGGTGGAACCCTGCGCTCAGATCGACGAAGACGATTCCAGAAGCGCCTGGCAGGAGTTTCTCGATTCGAGTTCGAACCACGCGAGAGATCTCTGCGATGCTCAACTTCCTCTTCGTAAGGATAGGGCGGAGGGGGTCCAGTCGGGGGAAATGGGATCCGTCCCCTGCCTGAGCCGTTCGGTTCCCTGACTGAGTACAGGTCGAAATCAGAGCTCTGCTCGCTGGTGTAGGGATTGAGGCGCTCGTTGAAGGAAGCCGTCAGCCAAGCTGCGTACTCTGGCTGATGCCGAGTGCGATTKGAACGAGTCTCCCTGATGCCCTGGTTACGCTCCACCTGCTGATTTTCTCTCTGGGGCTGATAAAGTTCCTCGCTGATGGGCTCTTCCTGAAGTTCGTTGCCTCCATCTGACATATTGGAGACGACCGCCATTTTATATGTTATTTCCCTCTGATGGGATGAGGTCCAGGACTGTCCCTGAAAGAGAGACAATTCCTTTCACTTGTTTCTTTCTTAGAGGAAGATTGCAAAGAGCAAAGAAGAGAGCTGAGATAACAGAAGGCTATGATCACCTGGAACGCGAGAATAATAGTGTCACACGAAGAGGAGAAGGCGAGGTGACAGAAGAACACTTCTCGCAAGGAATCTATCTCGCTTCTTTCGTCACTGTGTGTGGGCTGTGAGCTGTGGCAGGTCCTTAAGCGAGCATAGTGAATAGTCCCTACACCTTCAAATCTGCCTGAAGCAATGTGTTGCATATGACGTCTGCAGGGGCAAAGGAGAAGCGATTCAATGTTTGCTAAGAAAGAGACCTGTCTTCTCTATGTCATACGTCAGACAAAGAAAGTTGTAAAGGAAAAGAGAAATGAATCTCGTCGAGTCATCTGGATGTCGCTGGAACAGGAGGTAAAGTCCATCCCTATGTTTGAAGCCACAATGCGTACAGGGAACGGAGACTCTTTCGAGAGCCTCCATCAGGGATTGACACTATATATCAGGGCCCTTGACAACTTCCTGCCTCGAGTCTCATGCCGGATTACTTTGATATAAACCAGCTCATACGCTTGAATGATTCTCGGGAAGCCTTACATGCATTGCTTGTTCGACTGGGTACCTTGTCCAAGATGCCGCGTCCATTACTTGACATTAATCCTGAGTAATCTAACCTGACGGATCGATTTTCAAGACGAAGCATTGAGGACAGTATGCTGCAAAGAACACGCACGGGACGAGCATACGACGATTGTGAGGACAGAGGTTGAATCCGTCGTCGTCGTCTGTGGCGATATGTAGCCCATTGAGTACCTCTGGCGCTATCGTGTTGAGGGAGTAGATATCAGAGATTCGAAACCTGGGTTGACATTTCTCTCCGCCGTATCATTGATACTGACATCGATATTGGCTTGCTGGTGTCTCCTATCAATAAGTAATGGACACAAGATGCTTTGGACGCAGTGAGAAAGGGCCGACTTGTGCAATTGGAGAGGTCATCCTTAGGACATCACTCTTCAATACAGCATAGTACGAGATGATTGTCCTACATTATTGTTAAGACGCTCACTACCGGTCAAGATGCGAAATGGATCTACTGTATGAATTTTATTTCACTCTTAGTGTATCCTCATAGACATTCATATCAAGCATGCAGCCATAGTCATCAACGATAGATCCATCATCCAGTTCCAGTATCACGCGATTATTTATGAGCTGTGAGGAACAAACAGGTTAGCGACCTCGGTTCAGGTTCAACTTTAAGATGAAGTGCAACTTACGAATTCCCTCTTCGGGCTGGGGCTCAATGCCAACAACCTCGGCAGCAGTCTTGGCCTCTGCTGCAGTCTTGTCTTCCTTCATGAAGGGGAAAGCAAGAACCTCCTTGATGCTGTAGTTGTCCGTGAGGAACATGACCAGACGGTCGATACCCATACCCCAGCCACCGGTGGGAGGCAGACCATACTCCAAACTTGTGCAGAAGTTCTCGTCAATGAGTTGGGCCTCGTCATCACCCTGGTCCTTCTGTCTGGCCTGCTCCTCGAAACGGAGACGCTGGTCGAAGGGATCGTTCAACTCGGTGTATGCGTTCACGATCTCCTTCTTGCAAACGAAAGCCTCGAAGCGCTCACAGAGACCGCTGTGCTGGCGGTGGTACTTGGCAAGGGGAGACATCATCTGGGGGTGGCCAGTGATGAAGGTGGGGTTGACGCAGGTCTCTTCAATGAACTCGCCGACCAGCTTGTCGAGCATGCGGGCGTTGGTCAGAGGAGGCGAGCATTCAATGCCAGTCTTCTTAAGCACACGCTTGAGGAACTCGCCAGTTTCAGCGGTGTGCAGCTGATCTCCAGGAGGGAACTTCTCGCCAGTGGCCTCCTCCAAGGCAGGGATCATCTCTACCCGTCTCCAGGGTGCCTTCCAGTTGACGTTGTAGACCTCGCCGGACTGAGTGTGGAATGTGGTCTCATACCCACCAGTAACGTGCTTGACCAGACCAGAGACTAGCTCCTCGGTCAGGTTCATGACATCGTAGACATCAGCGTAAGCCCAGTAGAACTCGCAAGTGGTGAACTCGGGGTTGTGCGTCAGATCAATGCCCTCGTTACGGAACTGACGACCAAGCTCATATACACGCTCCAGACCACCGACAATCAGCATCTTCAGGTACAGCTCGGGGGCGACACGCATGAACAGGTTCATGTCAAGGTCGTTGTGGTGGGTAATGAAGGGCTTGGCGGTAGCACCACCGGCGATGGCGTTCATCATGGGGGTCTCAACCTCGATGAAGTCCCGGCTGTCGAAGAAGTTGCGCACGTAGCTAACAATCTTGGAGCGAGTGACGAAGACATTGCGGGATCTCTCGTTCATGATCAGATCCAGGTAACGTTGGCGGAAGCGCTGCTCCTTATCCTGGAAACCGTAGTGCTCCGAAGGGATGGCGTGCAAGCAGGGCGCCAGGAGAACGACCTCAGTGGCGAAGATAGAAAGTTCACCGTCGGCGCGGTTCTTGGGGCTGGTACGGCCAGGGAAACCGACGACACCAACGATATCTCCTCTGCGCAGGTGCTCGTGCTGAGCCTCAAAGGCGACATCGCCCGTGGCGTTCTGGGCCTGGCACACGACCTGCACCTTGACACCTTCGGCACGGATATCGTAGAAGAAGAGCTTGGAACCTGAAGAACGCTTGGTGTAGATTCTACCGGCGATACGGACGGTGACATCGGGCTTCTGCTCGCCCTTGGCAAGACCATCGTAGGTCTTGAGGTATTCGCGCAGGTCATCGGTGACCTGGAACTTGTGAGGGTAAGGGTCGGGCTGCTTGGTCTCACGCAGCTTGTTGATTCGCTTGCTACGGATCTCGAAGTATTGCTATATTCAGGAGCAAATATTTTAGCAACGGATCCCGACAGGTTCAAGTAACCGCTGGATTTCTAAGAGTGCAAATCAACTTACGTTAGCAGTCAAGTTCGCCTCTTCCTCCTCAGCGGAGACCTTCTTCTCAGGCTTAGGAGGAGCATTGGCCTCCTTCTCCTTCTTCTTAGCCTCCCTCTCGCGCAGCTTCTGGCGCTTCTTCAATTCGGTCTTGGAGACTCTCTCGCCCGTGACCTCATCGAGCAAAAGGTTGGCCACGGAGGCCTCAACCTCGTTGACTGCATTGGAATCCGCCATGTTGAATCAATAGAGCTTTTATCTCTCTCGTTCGAAAACACAGCCAGGAGAATCCCGATGGCAAGAAATCGAGAAGGAGAGGCGGGTTTTGGTGGGTTAGGTAGAGGAGAAATGCCAGAATTTTGGGCGTGACTCATGAATGGGAGACTGTCATTGGCTGTTGCTTTGAACCTCTACCACAGTAAACGGAACGGCCGATAACGGCCATATGGATACTACATCTTTCTACATTATACAACACATCAACATCCTGAAAAAGGCACACTGCATTTTGGATCACTTTCTTCATTGCATGTCATAAAGAATCACTGAAAATGTGATGTTTCCCTCGATTGGGGCTTAGGGCATAGGGCTTGGACGTGGGGCTGGGTTACCCCGCCTTCGATGCTTCCAACCATCCCGCCTTATCATCAGTACAAAGCGAATTTCAACTTCAAAGCAAGATCAACACGATACTGTCTAACCGGAGGCTTAAAAGAGGCTTGGACAAGGCTTGGGCGTCATCAGAGACATGCATATCTTAGCATGAAGCCAACACAATACATCGATTCCAGTCCGAGCCAACAACCAACAAACAGGATCATCAGCCAGCTACTGGTCCGAATCCAGGAAAGCTGGACCAGTCTTCGGGTGGTTGAGACTTAATGGCCGGGTCAGACTCTGCAGCTTCCGCAGCATCGTCTTCCTTCTTAGCTGTTGCAAGCCATTCCTGGGCCTTGAGGACCTTTTCTTTTTCCTTCAACAGGTACTGTCGGCGTCGCTGTCGCTCGGGATCTTCTGCCATCAACTCCATGCAGCGTTCGACAGCTGGGTTCTGTCAGTTGTTTGCCACTAAAAAATATCTTGGATGGGGAACAGACCATTTCCATCGAAAATACGTAGTTCGTTTTCAATGACTGCAATCAGTTCTTCACGGCATTTGGAGAAGAGTTTCGTATGTACGCTCTGACAGATCGAGTCGATGAACCGGGAACTCGCTATTTCATAGTAGCCACGAGTCGTCTGAGGACTATTAGCATGTTACTCGAACTCAGCAGGATCGGTAGGACTCACCGCCATCATTTTGAGCTCCTGAACAAATCTGTCAGGGCCGAGCTCCGCAGCAGTGAGTTTCTTGATCTCAGCGTCGCGGCGCGGGTCTCCCCGAGGGATTTTGCCTTGAAGATCGAGAAAGCAGTGCGACCTTGCTTCATGTCGGCGAGCTTTCAGATACTTGTACGCGTTTTCTGTGGCTTGCTCAAGAGCGGAAATCGCCATGGTAAAAGGCTTGTTATGCTCAATATTATAGTTCTCTTGCGCGTGTCTGAAGTGCTCCTTGCGGAGTGTCTGGAGGTAGTTGTCAATGATGCGTTTTAGTTCTCTGTAGAGACTGGTCTGATAGTATGGTGTAAAGACCTCTTTGAGCTGTCTCATCAACATGTCCCTCACTAACTGGTGAGTAGCCCCCAAGAACACTTGCATTGGCTCGTCCCAATGCTCGACGCTCAGCTGGTTCATGACCTCCACGGCTTTGGGGTCCGTCTGGTCGGGAATACCAGCACGATAAGAGTCCTCATTGATTTCTCTGATTTCTTCCCAAGTGAACATTCGTGCGGGACGATCAAACCGATTAAAGTGCTCTGTATAGTAACCTGAGGGCTTCGGGGTTGAGGGCTGTTCTGGTTTTGGCTCCGCTGGTGTTGAAGTAGGCCTGTCGCATGGGGTCTTGCGTTTCACATTCAAGCTCACTGATCGCTGTATTGAGGTCATTTCGCAGTCAGAGTCGGCGTCCT